AAATACTCTTCAGGACATCATCCAGGAAAATTTCCCCCACCTAGCAAGACAAGCCAACACTCAATTGCAGGAAATACAGAGAACACCACAAAGATATTCCGCAAGAAGAGCAACCCCAAGGCACATAATCGTCAGATTCAACAGGGTTGAAATAAAGGAGAGAATACTAAGGGCAGCCAGAGAGAAAGGTCGGGTCACCCACAAAGGGAAGCCCATCAGACTCACAGCAGATCTCTCGGCAGAAACACTACAAGCCAGAAGAGAGTGGGGGCCAATATTCAACATTCTTAAAGAAAAGAACTTTCAACCCAGAATTTCATATCCAGCCAAACTGAGCTTCAGAAGTGAAGGAAGAATAAAATCCTTTGCGAACAAGCAAGTACTCAGAGATTTTGTCACCACCAGGCCTGCTTTACAAGAGCTCCTAAAAGAGGCACTACACATAGAAAGGATCAATCAGTACCAGCCATTCCAAAATCACACTGAATGCTAAAGAGCTTCAACATAATGAAGAATCTACAACAACTAACAGGCAAAACAGCCACTTAGCATCAAAATGGCAGTATCAAATTCACACATAACAATATTAACCCTAAATGTAAATGGACTAAATGCACCAATCAAAAGACACAGACTGGCAAATTGGATAAAAATCCAAAACCCATCAGTGTGCTGTATCCAGGAAACCCATCTCACATGCAAGGATACACAAAGGCTCAAAATAAAGGGATGGAGGAAGATTTACCAAGCTAATGGAAAGCAAAAAAAAGCAGGAGTTGCAATTCTCATCTCTGATAAAATAGACTTTAAAGCAACAAAGATCAAAAGAGACAAAGAAGGCCATTACATAATGGTAAAAGGATCGATACAACAAGAAGAGCTAACGATCCTAAACATATATGGACCCAACACAGGAGCACCAAGATACATAAGGCAAGTTCTTAATGACTTACAGAAGGACTTAGACTCCCACACAATAATAGTGGGAGACTTTAACACTCCACTGTCAATACTAGACAGATCAACCAGACAAAAAATCAACAAGGATACCCAGGGCTTGAACTCAGACCTGGAGCAAGCAAACCTGGTGGACATTTACAGAACTCTCCACCCCAAATCCACAGAATACACATTCTTCTCAGCACCACATCACACCTACTCTAAAATTGACCACATAATTGGAAGTAAAGCACTGCTCAACAAATGCAAAACAACTGAAATCATAACAAACAGCCTCTCAGACCATAGTGCAATCAAGTTAGAACTCAGAATTCAGAAACCGACCCAGAACCGCACAGCTTCATGGAAACTGAACAACTGGCTCTTGAATGTTGACTGGGTAAACAACGAAATGAAGGCAGAAATAAAGAAGTTCTTCGAAACCAATGAGAACGAAGACACAACGTGCCAGAACCTCTGGGATACATTTAAAGCAGTCTCTAGAGGAAAGTATATAGCAATAAGTGCCCATATGAGGAGAATGGAGAGATCCAAAATTGACACCCTATCGTCAAAATTGAAAGAGCTAGAGGAGCAAGATCAAAAAAACTCAAAACCCAACAGAAGACAAGAAATTACTAAGATCAGAGCTGAGCTGAAGGAGATTGAGACATGAAAAACCCTTCAAAAAATAAATAAATCCAAGAGCTGGTTTTTTGAAAAGATCAACAAAATAGACAGACCACTAGCCAGATTGATTAAAATAAAAGAGAGAACAACCAAATAGATGCAATAAAAATGATAAAGGGGAAATCACCACAGATTCCACAGAAATTTAAACCATCATCAGAGAATATTACAAACAACTCTATGCACATAAACTAGTAAACCTGGAAGAAATGGATAAATTCCTGGACTCCTGTGTCCTCCCAAGCCTAAAACAGGAGGAAGCTGAAACTATGAATAGACCAATAACAAGGTCTGAAGTTGAGGCAGCAATTAAGAGCCTACCTCACAAAAAAAGCCCAGGTCCAGACGGGTTCACAGCCGAATTCTACCAGACACACAAGGAGGAGCTGGTACCATTCCTTCTAAAACTATTTCAAACAATCCAAAAAGAGGGAATCCTTCCCAAATCATTTTATGAGACCAACATCATTCTGATACCAAAACCCGGCAGAGACCCAACGAGAAAAGAAAACTTCAGGCCAATATCCATGATGAACATAGATGCAAAAATCTTCAATAAAATGTTGGCAAGCCGATTGCAACAGCAAATCAAAAAACTTATTCATCATGATCAAGTAGGATTCATCCCTGGGATGCAAGGCTGGTTCAACATACGCAAGTCTATCAACGTAATTCACCACATAAACAGAACCAAAAACAAAAACCACATGATTATCTCAATTGACGCAGAGAAGGCATTTGACAAAATTCAACAGCCCTTTATGCTAAAAACCCTCAATAAACTCGGTATCGATGGAACGTACCTCAAAGTAATAAAAGCTATTTATGACAAACCAACAGCCAATATCATACTGAATGGGCAAAAACTGGAAGCATTCCCTTTGAAATCTGGTACTAGACAAGGATGCCCTCTCTCACCACTCCTATTCAATATAGTACTGGAAGTTCTAGCCAGAGCAATCAGGCAAGAAAAAGAAATAAAGGGTATTCAAATAGGAAAGGTGGAAGCCAAATTGTCTCTATTTGCAGACGACATGATAGTATACCTAGAAGACCCCATCGCCTCAGCCCAAAAACTCCTGAAACTGATAAGCAACTTCAGCAAAGTCTCAGGATATAAAATCAATGTGCAAAAATCACAAGCATTCGTCTACACCAATAACAGACTTAAAGAAAGCCAAATCAAGAGCAAACTGCCATTCGCAATTGCTACAAAAAGAATAAAATACCTTGGAATACAACTCACAAGGAACGTAAGAGACCTCTTCAAGGAGAACTACAAACCACTGCTCAACGAAATCAGAGAGGACACAAACAGATGGAGAAACATTCCATGTTCATGGTTAGGAAGAATTAATATCGTGAAAATGGCTATACTGCCCAAAGTAATTTACAGAATCAACGCTATCCCCATCAAGCTACCATTGACTTTCTTCACAGAACTGGAAAAAAACACCATGAACTTCATATGGAACCAAAAGAGAGCCCGCATAGCCAAGTCAATTCTAAGCAAAAAGAACACAGCGGGGGGCATCACACTACCGGATTTCAAACTATACTACAAGGCTACAGTAATCAAAACAGCATGGTACTGGTACCAAAACAGAGATATAGACCAATGGAACAAAACAGAGGCACCGGAGGCAACACAACATACATACAACTATACAATCTTTGATAAACCTGACAAAAACAAGCAACGGGGCAAGGATTCCATGTTTAACAAATGGTGTTGGGAAAACTGGCTAGCCATGTGCAGAAAGCAGAAACTGGACCCCTTCCTGACACCTTACACTAAAATTAACTCCAGATGGATTAAAGACTTAAACATAAGACCTGGCACCATAAAAACCCTAGAAGGAAATCTAGGCAAAACTATCCAGGACATAGGTGTAGGCAAGGACTTCATGAACAAAACACCAAGAGCATTGGCAACAAAAGCCAAAATAGACAAATGGGACCTAATGAAACTCCACAGCTTCTGCACGGCAAAAGAAACAGTCACTAGAGTGGATCGGCAACCAACAGAATGGGAAAAAATTTTCGCAGTCTACCCATCTGACAAAGGGCTGATATCCAGAATTTACAAAGAACTCAAGCAGATTTACAGGAAAAAAAACAAACAAGCCCATTCAAAAGTGGGCAAAGGATATGAACAGATACTTTACGAAAGAAGACATATATGAGGCCAACAATCATATGAAAAAATGCTCATCGTCACTGGTCATCAGAGAGATGCAAATCAAAACCACATTGAGATACCATCTCACGCCAGTTAGAATGGCAATCATTAAAAAATCTGGAGACAACAGATGCTGGAGAGGATGTGGAGAAAAAGGAACACTTTTACACTGTTGGTGGGAGTGTAAATTAGTTCAACCATTGTGGAAGACAGTGTGGCGATTCCTCAAGGCCTTAGAAATAGAAATTCCATTTGACCCAGCAATCCCATTACTGGGTATATATCCAAAAGGCTATAAATCGTTCTACTATAAGGACACATGTACACGAATGTTCATTGCAGCACTGTTTACAATAGCAAAGACCTGGAATCAACCCAAATGCCCATTGATAATAGACTGGATTGGAAAAATGTGGCACATATACACCATGGAATATTATGCAGCAATCAGAAATGATGAGTTCGTGTCGTTTGTAGGGACATGGATGAATCTGGAAAACATCATCCTCAGCAAACTGACACAAGAACAGAAAATGAAACACCGCATATTCTCACTCATAGGTGGGTGATGAAAAATGAGAACACATGGACACAGAAAGGGGAGTACTAAACACTGGGGTCTATTGGGGGGTAAAGGGGGAGGGCCTGGGGGGGGGGGGGGGGGGGCGGCATAGCCTGGGGAGAAATGCCAAATGTGGGTGAAGGGGAGAAGAAAAGCAAAGCACACTGCCATGTGTGTACCTACGCAACTGTCTTGCATACTCTGCTCATGTACCCCAAAACCTATAATCCAATAAAAAATTAAAAAAAAAAAAGAAAAGAAACACTTTTCCCTCCTTATCTCACATTGTTTCTTCTACCTGGAATGGTTTGAGACCCATCACCATCAATTCAAATCCCAACAATCCTTCAAAGTCCTAATATTGGTAGTAAGAGTTAATGGGTAAGAGAATAAATACATAAAAATGAAAGCCACCTATGTGTAAGTTGGGCTTCCTGTCCAGTCATATACCCTGGCAACAAGGATTGGAAAACGAGTACCTAAAATGATAAGAGTACAGCCAACCCATGCCAGATTCTATGACTTCTTTCTGCTGAATAACCACTGATTTTGTTTCTTTTGTCCTCCAGGAAAGCAACATGTTCTTTCTTCCTAACTGGTAACTGGTTTCTTTACTCATTTACTCACCGAGGATATTCTGTTCCCCAAAAGAAAGGCTTCTGGAGCTCTCCTGCTGGAAATCCTATGAGAAAGACCGAAAAAATATTAAGAGATATAGAGAGATTGATTCAATGATGAGTACCCAGTTCTAGCTATAATACTGAGGTTTCAAAGACCCATCTGAAAGGCATTCCTTGTGGCACTGGGAGCCCTCTAAGAGATCTAGCTGTCTCAATGATATCAAGTCAACTGAGTTTGAAATAAGTTAATTAAATGGTTTCAGGGAAACCATTTTGCACTGGTACACTATTAGCAACGTCCAGCTTGCTGTGAGCTGGGCTCCTTCATACATGGCATGCCCATGAGGCTTCAGGCTGTCCAGCAGCTTTGCCTGATACAGAAAGGGCTGGCTTCATGGGTGTGCAGCCTGTGTCATCACACAGACCCCACAAAGAAGGGTCCTGCACTTAGTTTAATGCTCTCCTGCCACCATCTCAAAATTCTTAATGATTTTATCTTTGAACTTGTATTTTGTGAGTGGAGCCTGAGAGGACAATGGAACGTGTGTGTGTAAGCAGAGAAGATGTGCACAGTATGTGTCTGCTGTTCCTAGGAGCCCCATTCACACACAGCATTCACAATGCCCTAGGAGCACAGGACTCCATCAGGCCCACAATGCATGGGAGTTCAGCAAGATGCCAAACAAGTACAAGGTAAACATGATACATCTGGAACTGAGTAAGCTCTGATAGCCCTAAGAGGCCATATCTTTCATTCAAGCCAGAATTTGCTTAAACCACCAAAAGAAGGTAGTGGAAGTCTAAGAAACATGAATGACCAAGGAATCCTGTCATAACCTTTCTTATACCTGTTACTTCCCTGTATTGGCCAAACACCTACACTGAAAATGATAACATAGAAGGACAGAGAAAGATAGGGTGAATTATGTGGGTTGGCTGTGTCCCCACTCAAATCTCACCTTGAATTGTAATAATACCTACATGTCAAGAGAGGGGGCCAGGTGGAGATAACTGAATCATGGGGGCGGTTCCCCCATACTGTTCTCATGGTAGTGAATAAATCTCACCAGATCTAATGGTTTTTTAAAGGGGAGTTCCCCTGCACAGGCTTTCTTGCCTGCTGCCATGTAAAATGTGCCTTTGCTCCTCTTTCACCTTCCACAATAATTGTGAGGCCTCCTCAGCCATGTGAACTGTGAGTCAATTAAAACACTTTCCTTTATAAATTACTCAGGCTCGGTATCTCTTTATTAGCAGTGTGAGAACAGACTAATACAATGACCTACAGTTTCTTTTCCTTTTAGTCCTTCCTTACTCATCAGTAAACCAAAGGTAGAGAGTATTGTTAGAATGTACATGTATTAAGAAGTGAAATAAAAACAGTGTGAGTTTTGCTCAGCATTTCCTCCATGCTAGTAAGAACAAAATACATATGCACATACAAGCTACAAAATACAAACTGTGTAATTTTGGTGATTCCACATACAAGTTAAATGCTCTTATATTTGCATTTAAAACTATCATTCCACAATATAGAGATGAAAAATAACACTCATGCAATGACTTAAATCTTTTTTTTTTTTTTTTTTTTTGAGACGGAGTTTCGCTCTTGTTACCCAGGCTGGGCTCACCGCAACCTCCGCCTCCTGGGTTCAGGCAATTCTCCTGCCTCAGCCTCCTGAGTAGCTGGGATTACAGACACGCGCCACCATGCCCAGCTAATTTTTTGTATCTTTAGTAGAGACGGGGTTTCACCATGTTGACCAGGATGGTCTCGATCTGTTGACCTCGTGATCCACCCGCCTCGGCCTCCCAAAGTGCTGGGATTACAGGCTTGAGCCACCACGCCCGGCCAACTTAAATCTTTCATTTTTCTTATAATAGCGTTGAATAGCAAATAAAAAAAATAACATGACAAGTTGAAAGAGAAAGATCACAAAAGATAGAGCAAGGCTGTATATTTTAGCACCCTCAATGGTATTTTTTCCTGCTTTTGGAACAAAAGGCCCCACATTTTTATTTTGCACTGGGCTTCCCAAATTATGTACCTGCCTTTGAGTGCAGATGAGTGGGAGACATGCTTTGCTTTGCCCTTGCAACTCACCACTAAATTTTGCACCCTGGGTTGATCCTAGGAACTGTACTTACAAGTCATCATAGCTGATAGAGCAAAGAATCATAACCAAAAAGAGAGAGAGAAGCCTCCTGTAGTGTCCTTCACTACTCCAGAGCAACGGTTCTAGGTCCCATGAGACTGAAAGCTGTTTTATAAGTCAAAATGTTCTTCCTCCCTCTTTTTTTTCTCTCTTTTCTCCATGTCAGAACACATGAGGAGAAATGAGGATGGGAAAGCAAGTCCTTAATTTAGAAGGGAAATGGTGGTTCTATATAACCCTTATATATATTCTTTATATTTTATTAATATCATAGTTTGCAATTTCAAGGTACAAAAGCCTAATTGCAAAACAGAGATGGCTCCAGCTAGTCGTTCTCTCTGTGTCATTTTCACATAAAGGAAAATGCATCTAATATGATTTTGAAAGGGAAACATCATAATAATCTTCATAATTTCTACATTTCCTTTAATTATTTTTGGCATCTTTATATCACTATTCCATCCTCATTCTGACTTGGATATATATACATACGTAAATATGTATTACATATAAATGCAAATCAGAGTGTTTATATGAAAACTCAGTTTCACATAGTAAATCATCGAAAAGCAATGATATTTCCTAATAACAACAATGATCATAAACCAATGTGATTTCATTGTTAAATCATTATGGCTTCCCTGGCTGGTAATGTGCCCAGCTGGAAGCATTTACATCCATTGCCAACCCCTTTACAGGAAAACATCTGAAACCTACATGAGCCTCTATTTCTGCCATTTTTGCCATTAGAGGCCCCAGACTCAAAAGGTGAAGCCATCACATCACTCTGTTCAGCTGTATCTGCTGAGCTTGTTGGGGCCATGGAACCCAATACTGATAAACAGAAGAATCTAGTGCCCTTAGGCATGTTTTGCTGAAGTGAATGGATTAATAGTGTAAGCTGCATTTTTGGAGAAGTCAACCAGCTAGAGTGAGAGATGGAATCCCTACAGGGTCGACTCAGTATCTTATCTTATAAAGCAGATAAGTTTTATTTAGCAAAGGTAGAAGTGAAAAACAAGTAGAAAGGGAATTCCTTTTCTCTCCCTTTTTAATAGGTGGTTCTTATGTTTTCTTTCATATCCATTTCTTTTTTTTATTCTTTGCCATTTCAACACCACCTTGCCACCTATTTCACACTCTTACAGTTCCTTTTTCTATCAGTGTACTTATGGGAGCTGTTCCTCACAGTGTAAATGTCTCTGTGGAGGTGGGAGAGGAGAGGGAGAGAGAGGGAGAAGGAGAGAGAGGGGGACATTTAACTACTGGTAGGCAAAAAGTAATACATGTGATAACAGGTAATATTGGCCAAGGTGTAGGAAACACATTGATGGGAGTGTAAGTTGTTGCATTTTAGAGATCAATTAAATCATCTCTTAATGCTTTAAATGCCTTTTAAAAAAAATGAGTAGTGATATGGCAAAAGCTCTAAAAAATATTAAGTGAAAAACACCATTCAGTACAGTATATGGAATTCTTTTTGTGTAATCAATGTGTAAGAGTAAGCACCCATATGTACAGTCAGTTCTGCTATGATACCTGTATTGAAAAGGCAAATTTATTCCAAGGAAATTGATACATTAGGGGGAAATTTGGACATAACTCCCATTTCACATTTGCTTATCCACAAGAAATGCTAGGAAAAAGCAGAAAACTGCACCCAAATGGACTGAGCCATATAGGAATACAAACAATGCATACACCTCAACATAACTAACTGCCTCAGTTCGCGACGTGGGGTAGGAGCCACACTCACCACATCTGGTGTTAAAACTTTCCTTCCAATTTCATGTAACCCTCCTTCCACCACTACCCAAAAGCTCACAAGGAACACCCCCTCCAATGTCAACTTATACAAGCAAGTCTTTTCAAGGGAAGGTGCCATATTTACTGTAGCATTTGTGTGTTTACCCATTTAACATGTATAAAACCGTGCTATCATTTTTACTGGGTTCCCAGCTTTTGTTTGTAATGTGTCACTGATAAAGGTTTTAAGTGTTGTGCCCCAACCTCATTTTTCGCATAAGCCATGTGGCCTTTTATTACATACTTTTGCATAGCACAGTGGTGTCTAAGAATACATATATGGCCGGGTACGGTGGCTCACACCTGTAATCCCAGCACTTTGGGAGGCCGAGGCGGGCAGATCACAAGGTCAAGAGATCAAGACCATCCTGACCAACATGGTGAAAGCCCGTCTCTACTAAAAATACAAAAATTAGCTGGGCGTGGTGGCGCACGCCTGTAGTCCCAGCTACTCGGGAGGCTGAGGCAGGAGAATTGCTTGAACCCGGGAGGCAGAGGTTGCAGTGAGCCAAGATCACACCACTGCACTCCAGCCTGGCGCTTGGTGACGTAACAAGACTCTTGTCTCAAAAAAGAAAAAAAGAACACATATAGTAGGACTGACTGTATACATACATACCTGCCAGTGGTTTTCAAATTTTGTAATGCACCAGAATCACAGGAGGGCTTGTTAAATTACAGATTGCTGGGCACCGCCCCCCCACCACCACCTCAGTTTATGAGTCAGTAAGTCTAGGGTAGGGCTAAGAATTTGCATCTGACAAGTTCCCAGGTGATGCAGATTTTGCTGGTCTGGGTGCCACAGTGAGAACCACTACCCAATTACTTGCACAAGTGCACTAGAGTTCATTGCTGCATGGCTTGTAGTTGAGAAGTGTGCAGCAAGCTAAATGTCCAAATAAGAGGACAATGACTTAATTATGGTATCACCATATTGTGGAATGCTGTGCAGTAAGTGAAAAGAAGGAGGTAGGTCTTAACATTCCAGCATGGGAAATAATCCCCAAGACATGTTGTTGGCATAAGGCAAGGTACAAATATAGATATATAAATACAATTTATTTTCTTACATAACTATCCTACCAGTGTGCGCATATACA